TTTATGGCGGGTATATTCATGTATCTGCTACAAAGAAATCGCGTTTCCTATCACTGACGGAACACTCACACTTGTTTATTCATATAAACAGCTATTTATTCACGCGACACCTTCCAAATAAGAGTTTACAGTCTGTACAGAATGTATGTCAGATATATCTTAGTGCGTGGCCCAACTCACGAGCGAGTCCTCGTTGGTGTTGGTGATGTCAGCAATGCAAACGACTCGGCGAGCGCAAATCGGAAGTTCTTAGTTTCCAATCCACTTGAGGGTACTCAGACTCTATATCTTTGTAATTTTTCTTAATTTCAAAAGTTATTTACCTTAACTCCCTTGAGTAAACATTCGCACCCGTAAGTCACGAATCTCAAATTTGGCCGGAATTTCATGTAAGACCCTGTAGCCGCATTGTTTACCTGCATAATCCCTCCCTTAGGCACCCTCTGCACGCGTGACTGTGGGAAATTAAGTCGTAAGTAACTGGTGATCAACTGTTCCTTTGTTTGTCATGTTTTAAAGCAATGTATCCGTACCGGCTGCGTATGCAAATTCCAGGTGGATTATGCCCTTGCTTCTAAAATTTCCTACTGTACAGACAGCTACATTTACCTTCGGAAGTGAAAATTTGCTTTTTGAAAATGCTAAAGAAGAATTAGAGGATCTTGGTGCCTTTGAAATTAAAGTTGTATAGCTCATTGCTATGTTCGGCTATGGATTTTACTTACCTGAAAAAAAAAATCACACCACTAAGAGTAGGTTAAGCGTGGCACATCCCGTTTTTTTCCGAGTTATTTCTGCTTTTTTGGATCGTGTGACTTCGACTCATCTTATCTTTATTTTGTCAGCTTTCAAGGAGCGCTCGTCAATATTCTCCTGAGTTGGGAGAATTACTATGAGAGAATATTGTCTTTCCCTAGGACGCAACAGGAAATTAAATGCTGGCAGCGATCAATTTGCGGACTTTCTAACCTGGAGACCACCCATATTAGGAAGTATTTCGTGAAAATCACGAAAAAAGAGCTTACCTTAATAGGCGAACATTATGCAAAGACAGGGTTGGAACTTCCGGTTTTTTCCTCGTTCAAATAATAATTCTCAAGGTTTGAAATTTCCTGTTTGTTTGTGATCGGTGAATAGATCCCGGTTTTGTTGACACAGTACGAGTTTTCACGTACAGTAACTGAGACACGTGCAAGCCTGCCCTGCTGTGGATTGTTTGGCAACTAAAACGAGATCGTTTTAATCGAATCGCTGAGAATATCGAATCTACTTTGAAGAAACGAGACGGCGTTATAATATCCCATTGCATATTGGTAAGAAACGTTTTGAAATTACTGTTGTTTTATTACTTGATATGGAGAGCTCTGCTCTTAAGATTCCTATCTAGTGCCAATAAGAAGATAATGATTGTTTCGCCGAAAAGTTTATAATTAATTTCTTCAGGGCAAGGAGAGCTTTGGTTCCTCTTGGTTATATGCCATTGTGAGAAAACATTCTAGACATTTTTCGCTGATTTGCGAAGACCGAGTATAGTGCATATATATTCAAGTAAGTGTATGTGTCAAGCGGTACTTCATTCAAGTATGTCACGGTATTTTTGTTTATCCCTCGGATCAGCGCTGAACAATTCAAAAATTTTTTAAAAATCACTAATCGCCGGATGTGTACGACTTGCTTGCGTTGAAGATGAAACATTTGTATCCATAGTTTCCAGGTTTTCATTTTGAAAGCCATTGAAGTTTCCCTTGTTGGTTCTAGAATCACGCAGGGTAAGATTTCTCGTAATAGTGATGGCAAAAGACAAACACTGACTTGAATTACTCTTTACTAAGAAGACGCCCACCGTAGCAATGGGAGTTTTGAACAAATACAAGATAAAAAAAGAAAAAGAAAATACCCAAGGAGCTCGAATCCCCCTTTTTCGTTTACTGCGGAGTCCTCATTTGTTTCGGTTTTTATCATCGTACATGATTTGCGTTGGCATTTTCAGATAATCAAGGTTTCATTTTTCCATGTTGACAATTTCCATTCGTGTATTGCAACTCGTAGCTTGTTCTATCGTTCCGCATTTTGTCAAAGCGTTGTCAGTGTTTTTCTAGTCGTTGAAATATTCATTTCACCTTCAAAGTGAATTTTTTTCCGTTATTCTTTTTGCTGCGTTGTAATTAATGGTTGGTATTTTTCCCTCAACTGATCGCTCTTGAAAAGTACGCATGTGGAAGATTTTTGTCGTACAAGTCTTGTGAGCTTGAACCATTTCGTCAGGTATCGTTCTGTTGGCGAGAGAGGAATATTTAGGGGAAGTATTTTCGTTTCTGATTGCGAAAGCATCGCATGAAGACTAGATGGCTGGCTACTTTCTTGTACCCAATGAATCTTTTTTTAATTTCACAATACTCTCTTGTTTAAGAAACTTTCTCCTTATTATGAAAAGGGTAAGATTGCTTAGATCATTCAAAACTGTGGTAAAAATCAAGTGATAAGGTCTTCGTAAAAAATAAATGCAATGGTATTTACACTATATCGGCACGGTCTAAATTAAACACATTTATTGTATCTTGGTTTTTTAAATGTTCGTACATAGACATGTGGACTGGCAGATAGATAGCCTTAATTAATTATAAATTGTATATTCTAAAACAGCTGATAGCGTTAAAGTTGCGCTCTGATTGGCTTCTCAAATTCCGAATATTTAAAGACCCATTTTCAACCGAGATGCCGTGCGCGCCCAGATCATTTTTCATATACGAAAAATACGCTATTTTCCTCGAAGTTGCGGAATCGCTTTGATATGTTCTTCCATCTTACTAATTAGGGCTTTCAAAGTTCCATCTTGAATCATGTGCGAACAACAAACTATCGTAGTATCCATATCAGTAAACAGTTTTTAATTCTTACATGTATGACGTTGAAAAACGTAATTTGAAAAGTTGATGCCGCCGAAGAAGCGGTCTAGAGGAAGGCCGAGTCTGCCTGGCTTGGCAAAGGTTATTCAACTTCAAGAGTCTGTGTATGATTTATGGAGGGCAAGGAAAACAACTATGAGTTTCGGTAATACTACAAACAGTGCTTTTGTAGAAATGTTATTGCAATGTTCCTACAATGGAACTAGAGACTCCGGGGAGATTTTTTCGAGGTGAGAATAATTATTTGACTGATTTTTACTTGAGATCCTGAGATATGTATGTAAGCGATCTCATTTGTACAAGTCATTATTCTTTAATTGAAATGCATAAAGCAAATCAGTTTTGGCCAATGTTGGTTATTTGTTTATTATTTGTTTAGTGTTGAAGCCGAACAATTTCCTTCAACATCACGTAAGCTTTGTACAAGTTTTAGACACAGACTCGATTTATGATCTTTCAGTCTCAAATATTTAGCTGCAAATTTGTTTACTGTGTTCTTCACCAAATCTGTGTTTTTCTTTTTAATAGTGTTCGTGAATGACTATCAGAGTTTGCCATTTAACAATAGCGCGATTCCAAAACAAAAATAAACGACTGCAAAGGATCTCGGATGAAAATGGGCCTTTAACAATTATTCGCCACCGAGTAACTCGCGTGGAATTTGCGCTCGAAAATATTGTAATCGTTGAAGGAATGAATAATGAGTTAAGATCTTCTTTCTGAGCTATATTATCTCAATGTTTTAGTATGTGCTAAAATAACTTTTCACCTCGGTCTTGGTGGCTAACGGTGGATGTTTAACGCGCCGCTTCGCGATCGTAGCTCGTTATGTATCTACCACCACTTCGGTGACTAGTTGTTTATCGGTGACAGCATACGTACGGCTTCGTGGCTTAGTTTTTATTAACTCCTAATTCAGCCGTCATCTTAAAGGCATAGGGGTCAAAATTTGTCGGGGCCTGAAAACTTTATTTACATCATGGGCTTTTCTTTCTACACTTACTTAAATTTTTCCCGAAGGCGAGAAATCAATTTTGGGCCAACTTAATATCAGTGAGATGTATGAGGGCTAACAAGCTTTGTTCAATCATAAACTCTATAATAAACTTTTTCTCTATCTCGTTTTCAGTTCAAGAGGTTCAACCATGCCTTGGTATGATGACGATGATAAAGAAGGTGAACTCAACCTGGGACAAACTCGTGAAAGTCAGGATCATGGTGCCACCGGGCCTCGTGTGGACTGGCGCGAAAGGGACCCTTATCTTTGCACTTTGGAAATCAGGCTCCCTCGAGATGAGGTGCCAAAAGTAAAGTCCCTTTACAGTCCGTTGCTCCAATGGATTGATCCCACATTTCAGCTGCTTCACATTGAAGAAAGTAATAAAAAGTCGTTTATCACGTGGTTTGAACAAGATGGCCCAAAAGAGAAAGCGAGTAAGAGTCATTTGAGTAGGCATCATTTGAACACACAGTCATTAAGCGTTGTGCTGTTTTTGCACGAGGAGTCCAAGTGTCAGCTGAACGCAGAATTTGCAAAAGGGTACCTTCAGTCGCCCCCTTGGGGCTTTCATCATAAAATTGAACTGGCCAACCCTAAGGACATGCGCACTGTTGCACGCCAAGATTATTACGGGTCGTCTCCAGACCTCCCACTGTGGACTGTCTGTTCGGTGCATTACGGAAACGAGCAACTTAGGTTTAACATTTTCGTGAAAAATTTTGAGAAGATGAAAGAATTTTACGGCGTGTTGACGGGATGTGAAACTAGTGCAAGTAAACCAGGATTCTGTTCTTTTGACCTGTACTCTCAGCCTGGCCTTGAAATAAAGCTATCCTTGAAGTATTCGCCATGTTTGCAACCCCATGCATCGCAGCTCAGCGCACTTAATTTCAACATCCGTAATGTGCTTTATATCAAACAGAAACTTCGACTCACGTTGATCCCAAACGGGGATAACACGTGGCTGGCTCGTGATCCTGACGGTAACGCGATTATTTTGTCACGTGACGAGAATGATGTTTGTGAGATGGGTGTCGAAGGACACTCGACAGAAGCTTCGGACAGTGGACAGTGGAGCGAGACAGTCAGTGAAGATTCATCGTGTGAAACGTGCAGTGACACGAGCTGCACGAGTTTCTCGTGCGAAAGCGGCTGTGAGAGTGTGTCGACAAGAGATGAAGATGAAGATTCTTTTTTAGTTTAGGCGCCTAGATTAAAACAGAAGACATTTAGACTGAGTGTCATGAACCTAGAACCACAACAAAAGCAACGACTGTGATGCATGATCGAACATATGAACAGAACAACTCGCCGCATTGTCATTAAAACTCCCAGGAACTGACAAGCGATGCCATCATCGAACAAGTGGCATGGAAGCCATTTTCCAAAGAGTCGACGAGAACTCTTTAAAGGGTTCGGTGCACCTAAATGCTTCAAAGACTATTTTTTATCAGAAACTACGACATTCTTTTCAATAACATTTGATCCAGGGAGGACTTTGCTGTTGATGTAATCAGTAATGGTATTTGAACTGATCGATTAATGGAGTGCAATTCAGTATGAAATCATACGCGGGATTTAGAATAAAAAGTACATCAGACCAAAATCGCTCGACATGATGCTCGATTGCCACTTTAATACATTCGTGTTTTAATAATATACGTGAAAAAAATTCTCAGTTCTGATTGGTTAAGATGTATGCAGTTTTCAGTTAATTCAGTGCAGAAGAGAGTTAATTCAGTGCACAGAAAGAAACAAACCAGACATTCTGATTGGTCAGAATGATTAGTCAATGTCAAGGTCAATGTCAAGGTCAATGTCAAGGTCAAGGTCCATGTCACTTGCAGGGTTTGAATCAATTATTTTTGCACGTGATGCGCGCGCTTTTCTTCTGCGTAGTTATGAGAAGCTACCTCGTATTTTTTCATGTATATTATTAAGAGATAATCACATGATTTTCTCGTGCAATTTGGAATAAATAAGCACTTGTAAATTTTTTCAAAGACCACAAATTGCACTCGCCCTACGGACTCATGCAATTTTGTTTGTCTTTGAAAAATTTTATACGTGCTTATTTATTCCAAATTGCACTCGAAATCATGTGATTACCTTTACAAATCGCACGACTCAATCACCCAAATACAAGATTTTAGTTGGTACAAATATCTCATTGTCGTAATTCAAAAACCGTATTAAGGTTTGGAAACAACAGTTACAAAATTCGCCGCTCAACGACTTATTTGTCTTTCATTTCCTAAAATTTAATTGCAAACCTTGGAATCTGATTGGTTGTTTTGTTTTTAGTGTTGCTTTCTAATCGGCTGGGGATGATGCAATCATAAGAGCAAAACATAATGGGATTCGAGAATAAATTCTCACCGCTAAAAGCCAATAAGATTGCGAGGATCACCAGTCATTTCATTTTGGATATTAAATTAGAAATTTCTGACCACGCGTTTAGTAATAATGGTGCACTTGTTTTTATTAACTTTTTGTACATTAAACATTTTAAAGGTTTTTTTTTTTGCCTCATGAGCAATGTTATTCTTTATTGCCGTGGGGGAGAGAGGAGGATTTTGGTTTTGTCACGATGAAATTAACTTATATCTCCATAAAGCTGTAATATTATGGAATTTCTGGCGTTTGAGTGCCAACGAATACGCCGGAAATTAAATATTTCTGCGGCACGAGAGCAACAGGGCAAGGCCTGGACCCTTGAGTATAGATGCATTATGGGTATAGTGATATGAGTGTTAAAGCTTGTGATTGCACGTGGGCAATCATTCTAGGCCGACGCCATCTCAGTTGCTGAGTTTATTTATTTATTTATTTATTTATTTTTTGTAAGTATGCATATAGCCTAGTAGGAAGGTTACGTGAGCTTGGGCCTGGTTGCTACGCAGATTTCCTGTCTCTTTATCCCTACGGGTTTTTTTACGGCAGGTTTTTTCTGGCCGCCGTTCTAACCGCGACGTTTGTTAGTGGTTGCTAAGCTCTCGGTATGTCTTTTTGTCGTGTGCTGTGATGACGATTATTGAGAATGCAACGGTTTTCTATATGTGTTTCTTCATTATTGTACGCTGGTGCTCGCCCGAAAAATGCGAAATAAACCTAATGGTTCAATAGATCAGTGTCTGTTGTGTAGTGTAGCTGAAATCTTATGATTCCCTTCCCCGTCATGGCCAATTAATTTGCTTTCAACTTTCTTCAGTCCCCCTTTTATACTCCGTTGGCAACGACTGATCCCCCCCACCCCGCCGTTCCCCCCTAAAAACCATGTGATCCCTTAGAAATCTTCCATTTCTTCCAGGCGATAAATTGGAAGTGGTCCCTAATATTCAAAGGCTATTCTGATTTTAGGCATTGCAATGATCAGTGGCGGATCCAGACCTTGGGATAAGGGAGGGAGGCCCGGGTTTTTTTTGTGTCTACATCCGCCGGCTTATTTTCCTTCTGCAATTTTTCCCCAAAATAAGGGGGGAAGCGGACTCCCCCCCGGGGCGCGGGGGGGCACCTCCTTTAGATCCATCACTGATGATCTCCATGATATTAGATTCAGTAAGAGGTAAATGATGCATTTCATAAAATTGCGATTATTGACCGACCAACGCAGATCAACGAAAAAAACCAGAGGAGTCAGTGGGTAACTAAATATCAGTAAAGTAAACTGCCTCGAGTGCGAGAAAATTTGCCTGACCAAGTTGCGATTGGATTTCAGTTTTTCATTTGATTGATCGAGAAGGTGCCGAACTTTAATTTGCTGATACAATCGCAGCTGGTATAGTAACCAAACAAATCAAGTCCTATATTGTTTTAGATACTTGAAAAACATATCCTCGTGAGCTTTTACTTCAAAATCGCAGGATCAAAAAGAAAATAAGGACCTCGAGGTTGTACGCCATTGTCCGATTGGTTGATTTGAGTGTATGCCCCATTGCCCATAAGGCATCTGCCTGAAATGTACAAAACAAGTAACAAAGCTGGCCCTTTAAACCTCAGCACGCACTGCAGGCCGCGTTGACCCGAGCGTGCGCTGGCCGACTTCCCACTCAAATGAGGCCGCGTGACGAAACGAGAGCCGTTAAGACGTATTTAGGGAAACAGAAAAACATAAAACAGTTTTGCTCTTCAAGAAAGACATCGTTTCATCAGTCACCAGGGATTTTAAGCGCAGTATAACGACTTTCACAACATGGAAGACAATGTGACTTTCAAGACAAGTGGTTAGTGTATTAGGATAAACTGTTACCAACCTCGTTCCCAGGGCCTTTTCCCTTAGTTTGCCCCACCCCCGCCCCACCCCCAACTAAGGGAAAAGGCCCTGGGAACGAGGTTGAAACTGTTACATTGTTTTTTTTTCAGTCCAGTGGTCTTTTTGCTCGCGTCAGTTTCCGATTGATTTTGGGCGTCAATCTTTTTTATTTTTTGACCTAATCTAAGTAAGGAGTCGACCAGTCAGTCTTAGCCATTGCACAGTCAGCTTCGTTCTCTCTTTTATGCAAACAATTTGGCTGTTTACGTAGTCTACGGAACTAGCTCATGCCTACATCGTGTAATTTGTGAAAATTAAACCAGGCTTTCATCCTGAGTGAAAAAAAATATGCTTGTTGTGCGCTGTGTGAATATCAGCTCTTATCCTATTAGCGTTTACAGAAAACCCGATAAGAATCTCTTTCCTTGTTCCCAGGGAGTCATCGGTTTACCGAGAACGGTTTAACGAGAAGCTCCTGGGAACTAAATATGAGACAGAGTTTAATGACGAAAAGGGTCTCTTGGATTTTCAGAGACCAGCTCCCAATGTGTCATTTGTAGTCCACCTAATCTCACTTACAGAGTTATTTTCCACTTCCACCTCACGTTTCCTCGCGAGTTGTGAGTATGGACAATAACTTTAGAATGAGATTCTTCAATTACTAACAGTCGATATAAATTTCATTGCTGTGTTTAAAGTTAACTAAAAGCAAGATAGATTTTAAGACTCAATGAGGTTGCTTACCATGGTGTTCAGCGGTTTCTGATGTAGTGATGTTGATAAGAGCCATTGGAATGACTGCTACAGAGGTATAAAACAAGCCGCACCCTAGAGGCGACTTCTGGGATTATTAGAACCCCCTTCTTGAACCAAATGAAACACATGTAATTCATTATAGTTATGTCAAAACATGCAGGCATCGACCTTAAAATCAAAAGGGATTTAGGAATTCTCTGTTCAAAATGTCACCCAATTTCTCGACTGATGAAAAGTTTTGAAGGACAAGTAATTTTGTCTTTTTTCCCTCTCCCGTTATAATGATTACCTAATGTCAATGACGTCAGGTTCTCACGCTGATGACCGGGGAGACTGGAGTCGACATTTTGTAAACTCCTAAAATAGCTTCCAACTTTTCGTTGGATTCGAAAGAACACAGCTTCATGTACAAGGCAAAAATTAGTTCTTTGTAGGGAAATGGCTGGCTGGATCACATTTCCATTAAAGCGATCCGATGGTGTTGATTATAAAAAGCCGTTGGAAAAATTTATCAAGAACACATTCTCTGCTGAGACAGCGGCAGATAATGAAGACGCCATTTCTGAGCTTTCGAAGTTAAGGAATACTGTTGTAATGCAGACTTTGGATAAACATGAATCATCTTTAGATCCAGTGCTCAGGTAAGAGCGATTTGTCAGCAGTGCAGGGAATGTAGTGCATGAATTCTCTGATATCCTATGCTCAAAGAGCTGTTTATATGAGGTGACACTATTGTAACATTGATGGTGGATCCAGTTTACATGCAAATTTCGAATTTTCCTGGATATAGTCCATTTCAACAAGACGTAATTTCCACAAAATGGGATGAGCTACCTTTCCCGTTAAATCTAAACTCGGTATGTTAAAAGCTATATCGTTAAAGAAGGTGAGTGCAACATAGCAGCAACATTAAATTTTCGTTCAACTTATATACGTTATGTTTTTTTTCATTTTAACAAATTTAATGAAAAATGAATAACTCAATACTCCAACGTTTTATATCATGGTTTTAAAATCATGAAAGCTGTTTTTGATAACTAACGAGTGCATGTAGATTTATTACTTTTATTTGTAGAGAAACGTGGATAAATAATAATATTTCTTTGCGAGGTTACCTCATTGATATCAGTATCATGCAAAATACATGATGTCACGGCTTCAAGATATCACAAAATAATGTGAACAGTAGAGTGTTAGAGTTCGAATGCAAATATAGTACTCTAGCTGGGTGACTCCCAAGGGGAACAGTTGTAAAATAAAGCATTTCCATTATTTTTTAGTAAGGGAAAACTTTGTTTTGAAGATTAGGCCTTTCATTATCTTTCTATGCATTCAAACACTGACATTGTAGCTTTTAACCCACTGGTAAATAATAATAATAATAAATAAATAATGGACTTATATAAGCGCCATATCCAACTGCTCTATGGCGCTTTACAATACTGAGTTAAAAAGATAATGACTACAATTGATTAAAGACAAAATAATTAAGACAAACAATCACATAAAATCACAAACATGGATTTTCTTATATTTAGCATCTTTCTACCATTATCATTCTTTGCACCTTTCCTCTCCTTTTCTTACCTAGAGATAAGTTGTCACCCAAAATCTGACTGTTGATTCTCTCATCTAGCTGCTATGCATTTCCTTGTTAATTGGGTACAAGAATTTGGTGTTAGATTAAGATAACCACCACTACATATTTCTGATAAGTTTGAGTAATCTCAGTCTCTGGGGCTGTTTTATGGATAATGTGTGGATATAATAGGTAGAAGTTACAAGGAGTTAAAAAGTTAAGTGTTAGGTTTATGGATGTTCCACAGCATTACAAGTTTGTCCCCCTTGCTGTTTCACCCCATCAGGATGAGTTTGTCCCATCTAATATAATAGAAAGTTCACCCAAATCTCTACCAGTAAGTTTACAAATAACCAGCTTGTTTCCTCGCAGTAGGAAGTGTTCATTTCATAGAAGAGGGGAATAATGAGGGTTGAGAGTTTATGATTAGATCTAAATATGTTGAACGAAACCTCTTCTGTCATAAGAAAACAATTTGAAATATCGTGGTGAAATGGTGAAGGTGGGGAGAAACTTGTTGTATTGATAGGGCACATTCATGGAGGTATGAGCAAACTAGATGGGGTTGAACATGAAATGGGGTGAAACTTGGTGATATAGATGCAGATATAACTATAGTTGCATTTTTTTAGCCTGTTCAAATACACTCTATTTGATAGAGTAGACTGATCAATGCAATGTTTGGTTCAGACAGAACATCTCCACTTTTAATGGAACTTTATTTTGACATTGCTTCCTTATCAAGGTGCAGCCTACAAATAGGTGTACCTCATACAAGGGTCTCAATGACTGTTACTATATTTTTATCAGGTACTATGATCAACTAGAAGCAATGGAGGGGAAACTTCCTGTTTCAGAATCACAGGTAACAAAAGTACAATGGAAATGCCAAATTTTGTCAGTTTTTGCAGTTGTTTTTCATGGCACAGTTTTTAATAATATTTGTTGATCAATTGGAAGCTTCAACAACCCCCTCCTCCCATTCTGCAAGCCCCCTGGGCATTTGAACTTAAAGATTGGCTCATTCAAATTCTGTGCCCCTCTCCCCTGGGTCAAAATAGCTTTGAAATGCCCCACCCAACATTGAACAATTCTTTGTGTGATTTACAAAATAGTGTGGTAGAATTGAATGAAGTTACTTGTAAGTTTTTGGTGCTGCATGCTGTTGGGTTCTTTTGTTGTAAGCATCATTCTACAATATGAAAATTGGCTGGAAAGACTTGACATTTCTGGTTCAAATGCCCTGCCCCACCCCACTCTGGCAAGGTTCAAATTTCCCACTCCCATTAAATGTATTTCTTTTGCTATGTTCTCCTATAGATAAGAATCTCATATACGTGGTATGATGCATTTGACAAAGGATCCTTGTTTGGTTATCGGAAAAGTTGTAAGTATATGTAGTGTGTTTGAATAATTCATGGTTAGAAGTAATTTTTAGGTTTAGAAATGTAGTTACAGTTACATGGTAATGCTGTACTTTAAATATTTGCCTTAATGTTCCTGACTCTCATAACAAAGAGTGTATTCTTGAAGGAAAATTAGGTAACTGAGCCTGCTAAAGAGATCCCAAAAAAACACTACATGCATTTACTAGACTGCTAATTAGTTTGATTTTTAAGTATAAAGACAACTTTATGTTAGTAGAAACTCATTGTGGAAGTACAAAAGGCTGTTTAAATATTTGATTTTTCCCACGAATGTTTTCATGGAGGCAGTGTGGTTGAGTTGTTGAGGCACTGGTCTTGTGAGCTGGTTCAAGCCCTCTGCCCTACAACTCACTGGATTTGTTCTCTGTTGCCCTTAAATTCAACTCCTTGGCTGCACTTTGTATACAGCCAGTTGGTCTGCCTCCTGACTGTTGGGATTCTTAAAACACTATGGTTATGTTTATTTATTAGTTTACTGTAAAAAAGATTTATTTTCAAGATATTTGCTACTCAGCCACTCTTTAAATTTGAGATAAAATCAAGGAATCACTTTTGTCTTTTAATACATCACTTGGCATGTGGGAAAAAGCATAATGTAATGTAAACCAGGTGATATTTCAATAATAAAGGACAAGTGCATAAATCACTGCAAGCTCAAGACCTTAAGTGATTAATCTTTGAGAAAAGCAGCAAAAAGTGGAAAAATTGCGAAGACACTAACACTGACTCAACCTTGTGAGCAGATATGCACTATGAATGAAAATTTATTCTGTCAATAAAACACGCTCTGACCCCTCTTTTCCTTTCAAGTTTAGAAAATGGTTTTTTGTTACCACTGACTTTAATAAGGTTTGTACTTGTGCGGGAATCAAATTTGCAGGATCAAAGAGACCCTGTCAAAACTCAAATGAGATAATTATGTGCTGAGTATTTTACAACTAGAACTTTGTTCAAAGACTTTCTTTTCCATTGTTCTTAGCCATGTCAAGTCTGCAGTATGAGCGGCTCTGTGTGTTGTTTAATATTGGAGTTTTACAAGGACAAATTGCTGCAGCTCAGAATTTCCAAACAGATGAGGGATTGAAAACTGCAGCAAAAATGTTCCAGGTGAGCACATCAAAACTTTAGTGTGATTATTCTGTGAAAATATTTTTCTAGAAAATGAAACATGATAAAAATGGCAATGGAGGTGGTTAACAAGGTAAAAAAGAATCTCTGAAGGGGTATTTTTTTTGTTCAAACTCATAGATAAGATAGATAAGGTGGTTGAATTGCAAGTAATTTTAAATAAAATAATGTAACTATTATCTGTTATCTATTGGATTGGAGTAAGTAGAATTTAAGCCTGTGTTGCTCGTCTTTAGGGCTTAATTATTTCAGTGCAGGTCAATTGGAAATTTTCTGTTTTAATTTTTGATAATAGTGCTTTGACCTGGTAACTGTGTTGTGTTCCTGGGCAAAACACTTTACCCTCGCAGTGCACCTCTTCACCCAGGAATTTGAATAGGTACCAAGGAACTGTCTGGGAGGTAAACTCTCCACTATGAGCTGAGTGGCCCATTCAGCCAGTGAGAGCTTCTTTTGGTTTATGTAGCATGAAGTGATGAGAAGCGAATGTTGCTCCTCCCCCTGGATGAGATGCCAGTCTATTGCAGGTTACCCCAGGCATTTCATTAGCTTTCCCTGACAGTTTGCATGAACCCATTTGTATTCCTGGGTGAGGAATGGCACCATGAGAGTAAAATGTCTTTCTGAAGAACACATCACAATGACACTGTTATTGTATGTCTCAAACCAAGACCTCATAACCTAGGATCACCCACATTACCCTTAACACCCCAACATCAGTGTACATATTCTCCATACTGTTCTCTACACATTTCCAAGAATGCTGGCAAGGAGAAATCAAGAGTTTCTTTTTAGTTGGTGATCATTTACTTTACTCTCTTGACCTAACATAAGTGGTACTGGATCATTTTGCCTCTAAGACTTACCAGGAACCTGTGAAAACATTTTGTGATTTAAAGAAAGATGTTTATGGTCTTATGGTCTTGGTTGTGAGACAAATGGAGAAAAAAATTCTGAATCCTGATGAGGTGTCAAACTTCTGACCCCTTATGTATCAATTTGAAGCGATGATATCCCACTCACCCACCCTCGCTTAGGTATTTGAACTTTTGAAGGTTGGTCGCCAGGTTCAAATTTCCACCCTAGGGCAAAAATTGTGTACAAATGCCTTATCCAATTTTTTTGTATTAGGTAAAATCAGCAACTGTGACTTTCTACACATTGACCAAGCTTTAAAACGTAAGCTATTCACTCGCAAAAGTGAACTATTTACCTTAAACACCTCTGTGCCAAAAGATATAACAGTTATATTCTGCTTGAAAGACTTGCAACTTTCAGTTCAATTTTTCCACTCCCCCTTAGCACCAACAACAGTCAAATGCCTGTGGGTTGCTTGGGGAGGGGGAGGGAATTTTGAGGCTTTTAACTGATTACGGTTTTACTGAGACTGTTTTTATGCAGGTAAATGAAATTTGTAGATGACAAGTTTGTTCTGATTAAGTGATTGCATCAACAGTCAGCTAGTGGAGTCTTTCAGCAATTGAAGGACAAAGTGTTTCCTGAGCTGCATCAGGTACCAACACCTGATCTGTCTGTGGAGATGTTGACATTTTGTGGTGCCGTTATGTTAGCTCAAGGTCAAGAAAGTATCTGGAACAAAACTGAGCAAGGTAATGTCATTAATATTACTTGAAATATTTGGTTCACCATTTATGCCCAAGCATCGGTATCCATATTTTCTATGCGATTGTCTTAACATTTCCCTTTGGTATTGACTAGGAGAAGTTGTCTAACAATCAAATTTTCTTAGTTTGGAGATCACTCCTGCTATTCTCATGTTCGTAATGAATGACTCAGCTGTATTACTGTAAGGAGATAGTAGATGCCGGTCACTCTTGGGGTTTGAAGATTTAAAACTAGGGAAGAGTTTACCCAACATTCTCTGTGCTAGTGTGGTATTTCAATTGCCATCTGGTTGGGTCATTTGGTTGAGTGCTGGACTAGCAGTATTTTCAGTATCTGTTTGCTGGATATTGCAAGCTATTATTTAAGCAATAGAACACACTTTTCCAAACTCTACAATGAGATAGAGCTATACGGGATGTTGGGAGAACATAAGGAAAACTTATTGATTTATAACCTTTTTGTGTGTTTTCCTAACATCCCAAGTGGATGCAATTTTTTGCTTTTTTGGCAAAACTAGTCACATGCTGGCTCTGTAACCCGATAAAGCACCTGCTTGGAAACTGAAGTGACCAGTCAGATGATGTATACTATGTTCCTTGTTATAAAGGGAAATGTTACATGTTAATCACTGCTGGGAGTTTAACTGTAAATGTTTACACTGTGTATATGTATGTGACGATAAATGTATGTGCCATAAATGAGAAATGATAGAAAGAAATGTGTCATTCTGTGACTAATAATTTTCTTATTTTGTAGATAAAATGAAGGATGCCGTGATAGCCAAGGTTGCTGCACAGGCAGCAGACTTTTACAAGAGTGCACTTAGTGCTGCCCAAGTACAGACCGTTAAACAAATGCTGGAGAAGGTAACAAGTTTTGAAAATGATTCTTGTGATTTCTTTGTTATATGTTTTTGTGATTTTTTTTTTTTTTTCACTTTGGAAGGGGGGGGGTTACAAAAGGTATGGTTTATGAGCCAATCTGATCTCAAATTAGGTGTGGATGGCAAATCTTCCGCAATAATTATGCTTCCGATCGTGAGGTGGGAACAGACTGCATTTTGAATTATAACCCTTTGTTGTCTTTTGGGCTATATTTTTTTGACTCCGAGTCAATATTCAGGGTGCCAATATTTTTTTGTTGGTTGGGTCAGAAAATTTCTCATAAATTTAGTTAGAATGCTTGGGACCACTATGCATAATGCGTGTTTCAACCCACATAAGTGATCTTTCAAATTTCTTTGTAGGAGTGGATTTCTATTCTGTCAGCGAAATCGGAATTTTTTAAAGCGATAGCAGAGGATCATATGGCTCTAGTGGCCAAAGACAAAGGGGCATATGGCGAAGGAGTGACAAGATTCAAGGTGAGATTCGATGGAATAAGTATATGCTGTAGGTTCTTGTTTAGTGACGACGAACGAAAGAGATGGTGAGTTAAAGCAGTTGGAGGCAGCTGTTGTTAAGGAAACGGCTGCGGAAAGAATCTGATCCAAGCCTTTTTTGACACAGCGGTCAAACGTGGGCATGCGCACGGGGATCATTTCTGGCCCGCCGCGTGCAAATTTCCCGCGTAATATTTCAAAGGAAAACATTAGAAAAAACCGCTATCTTGCAAAATAAGGGTAAAAAAATTGATGCGAATGCGTAGAATGAAATCTCTGTAGTGCTCACGAAGAAAGGCTCTTTATTCGGAAAATAAGGAAAGCGTAGCGCTCGAGAACACATATCAGTTCTTGCAAATTTACATGACTGCTCTTGTTGTCACTTGTTAAAACAAACGAAGGAAAAAACCACGGGAAGAACGAGTGAGGACCGAGAGGGGAATAACGACCCAACCAGATGGGTGTTTGTTTATGCATTATGTCTCTTTGGCTTTTCAGCAAGCTGAACAACAAATGGCAAATGCTGTAAAGCAGAGCATGGGACTCGTGGACTTCAAGGTATGTTATATAGCAGCTTCTTTTTGTTAATTATTTGAGAGAAAGAAACTTGCCTTATGACAAGCGCACTGGACCGTTGGTTGAGGGGTCTGGGTTCTAACGAGGTCAGTAGGTTGAACTGACAGGCAGGACACTTTGGATCAATGTCAGAATCCGAGCAACTGCGCACCCACCCCTCCCCTAACCCAGCAACGGTCAACTGATAACAAGTCAGGGTTAATGTTGGTTAGGGGAGGGGTAGGTGCGCAGTTGCTCAGATGTGACATTGATCTGACACTTTACTCTCAGTGCCTCTCTCTCCACCCGAGAGTGGAGATGTATATGGACAAACTTTTTTTTTTTTTGGGGGGGGGGGGGGGCACGGAAGAAATGATAAAGGGGAGGGGAGGGCGAAACCTAAGATGGTTACCTTAGTATTGGGAGTATAAGCTGCAGCACTGTGGTTGAGAACCATCAAGTTGGTAAGAATCAACTACTTCATTTTTTTTCCCTTCCTATTTATGAATACTCCGAGCTTTTCTCTTATCTGTTCAGACGTGGGAAGGCAGGATCAAGCGTGAGGCCACCCAGCTTAAGAAAGACAACGATTTTATCTATCATGACAGAATGCCTGATATAGATTCTCTAGCACCCATTGGTCGCGCCGCTCTCGCCAAATCCTTACCGCTTTCCAAACCAGCCTCATCCAAATTTACAGACTTGTTTACCAAGTTGGTGCCCATGGCTGTCCATAATGCACTTCAAGCGTATGAATCTCGCAAAGGAGAAATCATCAGTTTCGAAGTTGGCCGACTTCGCGAAGGAACGCAATTAATGAACAGGTTTGTCGTGGATTCGTAAAATGTAGAAAAATACAAACATTCATGATAAATGCTTCGTGTTGAAGTGGTCAGATGTATGAAATGTATAGTGATGCAATGAAAAAAAAGCTATTGTACTATTTTCGGTGTTTCGGGGCTTTCATCCAACTCTTACTGAAGTAACCACAGGTCAGAGCTTTATCCGAAGTCTTGAGGATGAAACGATGAAAATGGGGAAGTCGTCTAAACTTATTTCTGTTACCAGATAAAAGTGGTTCTTGAGCCTCATTACAAATCAATGCACTATTTGAATCACGACTTGTATGTGCCCTTTTCAGTGTTCTTGCGTCGCTGAACCTACCGGCGGCCATAGAAGACTTATCGGGACAGACAATTCCTAAGTCGGTGTTGGACAAATCTGCTGCGGTGAACGAGAAGGGAGGTCTGAATGCCATCGATAAATTGATGCAGGATTTGCCAGAACTGCTTCAAAGGAACAGAGAAGTCCTGGACGAGGTAAAACTTACTGAAAGTATTTTTTTGTCCCTCCTCCCCCTCCCCCCCATGGGATGAACTCTGGCCGCTCTTTGTGTCAATCTCGTGTGTGGACTTATCCTCCACTCGTCACTCACCTTTCTTGGTTGGTGTCAGACGTCCTTTCCTGAAAATCGCAAATCCACAGCCCTTCGTCTGTTTTTCTTTCAATTATTAATTAAACCCTTTGAATATACCATTTAAAGAAAGAAACCTTTCTGCCCCCCCCCCCCTCTGCCGAGAGGGTTTGCCATATGAAGGAAAGTCAAGTATCCCGTCTGTCCCATTCAGGGGTTACTGTGAATAATGATGTTAATGTTGGGTTACTCTTCGGAATCTCAAAACGCAGTTATTTTCACGATTAGATAAATTGTAGGTTCTTGAGCATATGTTTCTGTACGAGTGCAAGGCTGTGCTCTAAGAAAAATTGAGGGGAGCCCAGTGCTCTGAAACTGTGAAATCCAGGGTGCTCAGCATATTCTTTTCATGAAAAAACTAAGATTCCTGAGTCACCCAAGAACAAAAGTAAGGCGCCATGGGCCACCGGGTACTGTAGCCGATTCAGTGGAAGGGTTATGAGGGTCTAGACCCCTCCTTCCATCAGACCTTTTATTATCAGATAATTTGGTTTTATTAACTGAGATGATAATGTAAATGTAATCTCCCAAATCATTCCGAGCAGCGTATGGCAGTTTGCAGCCTTTTCCTATATGTAGGCTGTTCGGAAAGCCGCAAGACTCCTAAACAAGAATTCATGTTTCAAATGGTCGCTCTTCTTCCCCGCAATATCAATGAACGCTTTTCACTTAACTGATTCATACCTGTTTCTCTTGTTACCATGTTTCCACCAATAACGTACCTCCATTTTCTACATACATAACACACACGACCCACACTTACTCTATTCGCTCTGACGAAGGGCCAACGCTCGACACGTCAGTTTTAGAATCACTCTACGGTGGTCAATTTACAATATCAACTCAGTTGATTAAAAATTATCTTGTAAAATCCCCTTCGATACAGCACCACAGTTTCTTCACAAACTTACCTCGTTTATGATTTTTTCCACCACTTGCCTGACAACGAAATTCTTGCAGTGACAGGATGACATATTGCTGCACAATGTGGCGTAATTAACATTGGCTATCGTTTAACTATTGTTTAGCCGTTTGTAACGGAAGTATTTTCGTGTTTCCAGGCAACGCGAATGATGGACGAAGAGGAACGTCAGGACACACAAATGAGAGAACGCTTCACGACTAAATGGACTCCAAAACCGTCAGCTGAGCTCACGATGCAGTTGAGACAGGAAGCTGACAAATATCGCGGCATTTTGGAGAATGCAGTGCGAGCTGACGATATTGTTAGAGAAAAATACAATAACCATCGACGGAATATGGATCTACTGAGTAAAGGAGAGGTAGGAATTTATTTTGTGGCTTTTCTAATTTACCAAAATTGTTTTTGTAGCATTTTAATCTGGAAAAAAAAATAAGTAAACTTGTTTTATTTTCACTTCGAAAATTGAAATCGCTTTCCGCCAGCTGAGTGTATGTGAAGGTAATCTTTACATTCGGTGCTCTCGGGATGGATTTAAGAATTGTCTTCGATTGAAATAATTTATCAATATTTATGTAGAAAATATGCCTTATTCGATGGTTAAACATATTTGATAGTTTAACATCTGAGTCTTTTAGGGGTGAGTAAAAATAGAGCAATTATTTATTACTGTGCGATAAAATAGTTATAATGATTTGGCTTAATTGATTTATGTGAATAAAGCTATGTCTCGTCTTGGCATGGAATAATAATATACAGAAAACTACCATCTACTTGTGATTACGAAACCATTTCCGAGGATAGAGGCTACTTTTCAGTCGAGGATGAAATACAAATCCTGACGCAAGCGTGTGATATACTTCATATCCAATTTTTTCGGGCATGTCCGTGACGTGCGCAGACGTTTCTCAACTCCTTCGAAGGTGGAAAGAACTGAACCAAAAACCTTGTTTTTTCATCTCAGGCGGAATTGGCAGCAGCCATACCTAAAGTTGGAGCTGCGTCATCTTCTTCAGCTTCCACCCCGGCTGTGCAAGAGCTGAGGAAACTAATGGAGCAAGTAGACACTATCAAAGCCGAAAGGGATGGTATAGAACAGGACCTGAAAGTACAGCCAGACGATATGGGTGAGCTGGTAGAGATACCCGGGTGATATCGTAATTAGAGTTATCATGTGATCCTTCCGGCCACGCTCGTGTAATCCCATAGAAAACCACAGTAAAAGTACAGCCGGACGATATGGGTGAGCTGGTAGAGATACCCGGGTGATATCGTAATTAGAGTTATCATGTGATCCTTCCGGCCCCGCTCGTGTAATCCCATAGAAAACCACAGTAAAAGCTGACGTATGCAGGGCCGGATGGGTTGACGTGTGCCGAAGCCGTTCGGCCCTGCTGCCCCTCAAGTCGCTTTGTTGCAAAAACTTTTAAAAAGGCAAACTGAAATATGAAAAAAGTCGCGTTTTTCAAGGAATTGGGAGTTTCCTGTTTTGACTTGAAAAATAGAGTTAAAGTTTTCATGGCAAATTTCTTTTTGGACTTGTGGGACTGCCTATGCTGTCTAGCGCATCCTATTTAGATTGAAATTTTCAAGACGTAGTGGTCATGTGATAAAATGCTTATTCACTGAGTTTGATCGGGCCGAACAGGAAAATATTTGGCTCTCGGTCATGAGACACGGACCTCGCTGCGCTTGGTCCGTACGTCATGACCTCAAGCCAAATATTTTTCCGTCCGGCCCTCCCACTCAGTCAATAAGTACATATTAGTTCGTTTCAATGTCGAAAGTGAACCGGGATGGTATTGGTTTTCCTTCACTGCGGTCTGTGATTGGTCGATAAAGCAAGCGCCTTCCACTCGACCAATCAAGTAACTAAAACCAATCACAACTTAGTTACTCGCGTTTCCCCGAGCTTTAGGCAGCTTCTAAATTTTTTCTCGAGTTCTCATTGGCTCCCTGTGACATTTCTTTGTTCTGATTGGTCCGTCACGATGATTACTCCGATTTTGGCGTTTAGACTCTCAGTTGAGAAGTGTCTTATCGTTGCGCCATGTAAGTTATTGAGGTCGGGAGAAAAGTATGCAAAGGGCAAATGAAAAACGAGGTTCGCGAACTTTCATTGTTAAATTAGATTTATAAAGTTTGTGAGAGTAGATTTGACCCAGAGGACCACTGGATAGCGCATCTAGCGAACCAAACCACTTCCTTTTCAGAAAAATGAGAGAAAACGAACCAAAGCAAGGCAAAAACCTTTCTCTGACTGCAGAAGAAAGGCAGCATATACTATTTATCAATACTGCTTTGAAAAGCACGCGAACACTTCCATTCTCTCTCTCTCTCTCTATTTTTTTTTTATCTAAAGCTGTAAAGTTTCTGAGCGCCCTGGCTGCTGATGGAACAATACCTGATGTTGAGAGTATCATCAGTTCTAATCTGAGTGCAGGCTTTGATTCAGTGAAGGAAACTGTTTCTGAGAGTATTGCGAGACAGGAGAAGATTCTGGCAGCAGTACAGGTGGGGGAAATCGTATTGAGATTAAATCACAGAGGCTAACAATGCGCGAAACTTTTGAACCTTTTTGCTCCATTATCTAAGTTAAAGTTCTCCGGACTGTTTGCCGAACATTTTTTGAATTTTAGCTTTGAGAATTTCGGGTTAAATCAAGATATCTCCCTTGGTTGGTATGGTTTTTTTCTTTCTGCTTGAAAATGTATTGATGTTGGAATGATGAATTCCTTTTTGATCCCTTCAAGAAATTGAAGGGTAAGTAACTAGTGTAGACTTTTTTCTCACTCAGTTACACGAAAGAAATTGCAAAAATTGAGACCGTTATACAGAAAATCCTTAAAGATTCACGCACTTGAGAGGTGGGTGTTTTAATTCCTTTTTTTATTTATTTATTTTTATATTTATTTTTTTTTCATTTTAGGCTACTAATGATAAGTTTGTGAAAGAAAAGCAGTCTGGACAGGCAGCTACTGAACGGGAAACTATGCTAAAGGATCTGGCGACAGCTTATGACATCTACATGGAGTTAATTGGTAATCTGCAAGAAGGAACCAAGGTAGGGAATGATAACAGTCGAGGATTTAATTAAAATCAAGGCTCCTCACGTGTTCTACTCTTGTTCTCTTTCAGTTTTACAATGATTTTACGCCGATACTGGTGCGTTACCAACAGAAAACTAGTGATCTCGTTTTCGCTCGAAAAACAGAGCGGGAAGAGTTGTCTAGGTAAGAAAGCTATATATCGCCGTATTTAGTTGATAGCGTTCGATTTAGTCCTTCATTTTTCACAGTCTTCTTTTTGGTCGGTGAATGACTCGGTGGCTTAACCCTTTACCCCCAAGCGTAAGTGAGTATGTTCTCCACACTGTTCCCTATACATTTCTTTTAGTGTTGACAAGGAGAATTTGTAGAACAATCAAGAGCATATTTAAATGGTGATCATTTCCTTTATTCTCATGACCTTAATGTTTGATCAGGGGTGATATTGTAAGGAGAAATTAGATGCTGGTCACTGATGGGGGTCAAAGAGATAATGACAAGTGCGCTAGACCACAGAGTCGTGCACAGAATTATTTTCTTGTCTTAATGAGGAAGATCTTTCATGATACAACTAGTAACTTCGTGTAATTAGGTTACATTGCTCGAGCGTGGTCCATATTCCCACTGTGCTCGCTGATGACGTGTGTGAACGCACAACGTTATGAGTACTCAAGAAGCAAATTTGATCTTGGCTGCGCCTCTTAGTGTATCTTTTTTGGTCCTCCAAACTTTCTGCGTACTTCATATCACGATGAAAGCACCCTGGCGCATGAACCAATTGTAATGCCCCCTTGTGGTGTCTGCACCCAGGAGTAAAAATGGAACCAAGGAATTGTTTGAGGAAACCTTCTCAAATGCTGCGAATAACTTGTGATCTTAGAGAAGAAGTCGTTAGTGTTTGCGCGCGCCGATTACTTGTAGAATTATGCTCGGTAACGATGCGCAGTACAATCGTGAGGAGTGATTCGTTTAAAGATCTATATTTTCACAATGCGTCTCTTCACCCAACAAGGAAAGCATTTTAAACTTTAAGCTCGTGTTTCGCTAGAGAATTAAAAAGGTCTTTTTCAGTAATACATCTCTGTGATTTCAGAGACCTCCAGAAGACGATAGCAAACCAACCGGCGGAACCAACACCTCAAGCGCCACCACATCATCAACCTCCAGGTCTGTCAAGTTGCAAGTAAACAACGCCGCCAATCGCATGAGCACATACAGTATAGTTGCTTTTCAGCGAGTCTATGCACCTCGTTTAATAACTTAGTCATCGTAAAAGTGCTTATGACAGAGATCTCGCTGTGTAACCGCTTTAGGATAAGGAGAGACACATCTTTTTTCGTTACGTTGATTTCAGGTGCGCGGGTGCCTCCTGGCCGCCCTCCGCCTCCATCCACCCAGCCACAGCAACAGCAGCATCGGCCTACAGCCCCTACTCCAGCTGCGCCTCCTATGGCTCCTCCACCAGGAGGTCCCCAACAGTACCCCGCTCCGCAGTATCAACCTATGCCTCCTCCCGGATACATGCCCTATCAGTACGGAGGGTACCCCGGATATGCACCTCCCCTACCACCTGGTTATTACAACTACGGTGGTTATGGAATGCCGCAGGGATACCCCCCTCAGGGACAACAACCTCCCCCGGGAGGGTACCCACGTCAGTAGATCATGTTAATTGTATAAGGTCTCAAGCATAAAGTTAATTGAGGGCTAGTCATGAATCTTCTCTTTTCTTAGAAAGACCTAACTCTTGGGGGAGGGGAATATTTAAGATTCACAACTAGTCCGGTAGATAGATAAAAACTGTCATTATAACGTAGGTATAGTTTCTAATAAATGTTTTCAGGAAAGTTTATCGAGAGCAAGCATATCTATGTGTTCATTCACCAATGTAAAATTACGGCTAAAAATCACGGATGTAAAATCACAGCTAAAAATCACGTTTGTAAAATCACGGATACAAGATCAGGGACATAAAATCAGTGATTCCAAATCTTTTTTAAACTCTCATTGGAATCCACGCGCTTTAAAATCCTCAAAAATGGCACACTGATCAAAAAGAGAATTCGTTTTCGGTAGCTAAGATAAACCAGGTGTCTCGATTGAATCAGGCTGCAAGAGTTAGACCGCAAGACCGATCAACAGGTATACTACTAAAGATGTATGAAATTGAAAGAGAAAATTAGAGGGTGCTTTAATTACAGCTATCAGTTACAAACTTATCCTTGCCTGTCGAACGGGCAGAGTAACGGGTTCAAGTTTGAGCAGTTGGGTGACAGTGAGATTGTTATTGTTAAATTGGAATTTTTGCTTCCGTTTTCTTTTTTGTGCGATAGTCCTTTAATGTAAACGATGTGGCTTATCTTATTGAGACTTTTCCATTGTTGTTCGCTAGGAAAAAAAAACATTCTTGATATATAATAAATCAAGAAAGCACTCTACGGTTGTGGTCGTGTGTTCATTGTTTGGAAAACAAGTGTCGCCTGTCCTACCAGTTCCTGTTTTTTAGGTGGGGAAGGAACCCGTTCTCAGGTTTTTCACCTTGTTCGTAGAGCAGGTGCCTGAACATTAGCTAGGATGCTTTACTTCTGGACATTTTACGAAAGAGAAACTTGTTGACCTGTCCTCCCCACCTTACCCCCATCCTAATCTCGTACCCAGGTCTTACCGTGTAACCGGACAACCGCTGGCCGTGGAAGATCTGGGTATAGGACTACCCCCATCCCTCGCACAATAATTAAGAAAGTGCAGTTTGATAGTAAAATTTGTAAAGTTTGTAAAATCAGATCACCGGTTACTGCTATATAGTCTGGGGCCAGATCCTTTTTCATTCAATTTGTTTAATTTTACATATATATATGTGCAGTTAGATATAGCTCTTTGGCATACAAAGCTCTGCTTTCATGTCCAAATTGAGCTCTGTGGGATGAGTCATTGCCGCTAGCAATGTGCATGGCTCACTGGGCTTTTCTAGTTTGAGCACTCTGGCATGGCTTAGACGATACCACAAATGTGGGATCGTTTGGGTGACTACATCGGCTCTCCCCCATCCTAGCATTAGCACTGCACTGATGAGGCCCAGACGGCCGAAAGAGTGCTAATTCAGACGTGCGATTTTGAGCTCCTCGATTAGCCAAAGTTTTACTTTATTGATTCAAGGTTAGTCTGGCCTTTGGGCCTTTTTTTCATTTGCTTTGCGTGTGATTTATGGATTCAGGTATGAATACCGAGGGATTAGTAAAAGTGATTTAGTCGCCGATGTAACCATTGAAGACTCGTCGATCATAAATGGAGAATCATATGCATCGAGAGCTGCACGTACCACATGAAATATTGGAAATAATGTACCAAACGAGCGGGTTTTTGCTTTTATTGGAAACAACATGCCGCAGCGGCCGAGAACCGCGTCCTTTACACCGTCTAACTCGGACATGAGTGCTAGCCTGGGAGTTATGCGTGGCAAAAAGAAACTCGAAAGGTAACCAAGAAGAATTTATCTCTGGGCATATTTTGACAAATTAATTAAAAAATTAATTTTACTATTGTACTATAAGCTTAGTTGTAGGGAATTGGAACTGTCCGTATAATTAACAATTGCGGAAACTGATTACAATATCACGTGATGGTTTTCATTATGGGGAGGGGGGCTGGGACGAAATATTGTCGGAGAACTAGCGCCTTTTTTCTGTCGGGGCGGGGAGGGTAAGGAATACTCGGTATGGCTTGAGAGGGTCTGTTCTCTATTGTATGAATAAAACATTAGTAAACACATGATTGCATTTAAAGAAATGTTAAACACCAATCTCATATAAGGGTAGTTTTGGTAAATGCAGTTTCACTGAGAGAAGAAAAAAAATTATCTGGTAATTTTCTTTGGATTGACTTAGATGCCTTTGAAGTAACTAGCAATTTATTGTATATTCACCTTCTGAAAACAACATTTAGAATGATAAAAGTTTTGAATAAATTCTCTGTCTAAGAGGTTGCATCTCTTGCTTTCTGATTGGTTCATCTGATCTTGATATGGCTTTGGATCAATACCTGTGGGATATCACAAAACCAGCAGGACCAAAAATGGATGTGAATATAATACGTTCTCCTACAAAAAACAAAACAAGATTATTTCATGAACAACAAATGAAGTGATCATCTGACGAGGTGGTCACTAACACAAAAAACCTGCGAAAAAAACAATTCAACTTCTTTGATGTTCAAACAGTAAAAGGGGCACAACTGCATGTTGATTTATAAGGTTGTTATCTTCACATGGAAAAGGTCTTCACATGAAAAAGTATCTCAGTCATTATGAAAAATGAGAAATTCTCACTGATTTTTCAAATATCTTTATAATATCCATTTTTAAATCACTGGTGATCCTTGCAATCTGATTGGTTCTCATTGGTACAAATTATTCACAAATCATACCATTATTTGCTCAAAATCCCATCCTTTTCCCACCCCTTAGAAAATCTTTGCTAAATCGTAACAACCAGTCAGATTTCAAGTCACTTTACACTTTTTACTAACCTGCTCAGCGCTGGATCAATAAAATATTTGAGCAGAGTAAAAAGTCCCCCAAATGAGTGACTGAATCTTTTCAATTTCAAAATGGATGTAATTAAGTGGTAATTTACCAGTAAATTTGTGTTGTGTAAGTTTAGTCTTAAATCATACTTTTGATTTCAAATCAAAGTTATGCTGCACGCTCATTTAATTTTGAAATCACGCATATGATTTCAGACCAAACTGCACGGATCCACTCAGTTCAATTGCCAGATTTATATATCTATTTTTCTGAGAATTTGATGTTAAATCAGACAATATCTCGACTCAGATTCTCCTTCTGTGTAACAATATATTCAATTGTGGGGAGAAATTGCTTTTTGCTCATTTCTGAGAGGTGATAAGGGTTAAAAATAGATAATGTTACGTGCACGAATGACCAACAGATGTCCGCTAACAAAGCATACATAAAAATAGACTCCCGGGTACGATACAAGGCACGCAACAAAAATGTAACAACAAGCAGTTACCCATTTTAACCATTATTTAATTAGTTTTACACTGTTTAATTTACTTAGGTTGAAGATTAAGTTAAGCAGTTCGTAAAGCAGGCTTACAATCCTTCATGCCGTGTAAGTGTTCATCGTCTTGATCAACTTCGAATTCCAACCTCGATCCGCCGACTGAAGACCACAATGCTTGGCTTTCTTGATTCATGGCATTCTTTCGTACACACAAATTCTTCCGGAGGACTTCATAGTGAACTCTATATTCTTTGTCTTCTTCCTTTCTCGGGTATCGTCTTTTTCTTCTCTTTCTCCTCTCCGCATCTCGCAAGGTCAAAAGGTCATAGCCTCGTCACATGTTCTTCTACAAGTTCTATCGGCCGGCCACGAGGGTAAGCCCTGGGGCAAATCTTTTTTTGTACTTCTCTGATGCAATCACAGTTAGGAATCCAGGGCTGAGTCATTTTGGGTCATAACTCTACGCTTTCTCACAAAATATTATAACGAACATTATGTCTCCTATCAACGTTCAAAAATGTGACATAGGAGACCTCCGCGCCAAAGAATTACGACAAATTTAAAACGCTGAGTTCTCTGAGGTCAGTCCGTCATGATCGCTTAACATTCTCNCGTCAATTCACTTTGTATGGTCCAATATCTATTTTGGCCCGTATTTTGAATCACATGTTATCTATAAAATAAATCGAGATGTTTCATTTATATGTAGTTTTATAGAAATAATAGGGTTTGGGCTACTGGTGACCTGGGTGTTGTTTTAAAATTTGTGGTTTATCATCCGTAAACACATGTATGTCCCCGGGAAAAAAATGGTTTCTAATGTCAATTTTTTCGTTTTTACGGGTCACTTATGATTGAATAAAGGGGGTAAGATTCTTTAGAAACTGTGGTACTTCTACGGTTGGGGTATACCACAAGACAAGTCGGTTTTCATATCAACTGGGCTGATAATATAAATTTGCCATTTTTCTAAAGAGTTGTCAAAGCTGTCGTTTTAAGCGTCAGCCATTCGTCAGAGCGAATAGACCTAACAAATACTAAATGTAAACACCTTTTCTTGGAAAGTCCAAAGGTATATTTTATTGGGAGGTACAACTCGCAAGTTGCTAGATACTTAGTCTAGTCTAAAAATCTAGTCTAAACACACTATTTCATGTTTTTGTGACAGATTTTCCCATTCAAGTCTAAGGGTTTAATAATCAACCAGAACAAAAGTATGAAGTAGAATAATTGTTGTTCTATATTTTCTACAAACGTTTGAGCAGAAGCCCCATAAACGGCAGAGAAAAGAGCACGCAATAAATCTGTGGATACCCCAGCAGCTCAGCTGAGTGATTTAATCTACTGCTTGGCTGACCTTGAGCATTACCTTCGTGAATTCATTTTGTCTGACAGCCGTGAGATAACCTTCCTTTTGGAACTTTGTTTAAATAACTGGCTCACTGAGTTTTGTTGTACTCTTAAAAGCTAGAATATTTGAGAATAAGGATCCAAGCTTTTTAATGAAATAAATAAGAAACCTCTAATTCTGAAAATGAAAACTCCTCGTACAAAATTACCAGAGCATTAACCTCAACAAAAGACTTAAAAAAAAATCTTAGGGAAAAACTTTTTGGAAATATCAACGTTTGAAGCACGTTGAATTTGGTTTGACTGGCCTCAAGAGTTTACAAATTTGACAATCAGGCTATCATTAATAGAGTAGAAAAGATATGAGCCTAAAAGAGTTACAAAAACATTGCACTTATCAAAAATCTAAATAATTTCCAGAGAAAGTGTGAGGTAAGCTGTTTCCTTTTTTAGCCTAAGGGAGAAAGACACTGAGAATCAGGCTTAAAGGTGTCTTTCAAAATGAAACTAAAAGTTTCAATTTTGAGAAGAAAAAAAACTAAAGCGCAAAACTATCAGAGTATTAAAATGTCTCAGAGACTTAAGGAAGAACTCTACATTATCATCGTATGTAAGTTAATGATTAGATATTTCTGGTGAACTCTTATTCGGGAGAGGGCATTTATTAGAGCGTGGCTTATTTGAGGAACTATGGTAACTCAAAAAGGTAAATATTAAGTAAATAACAATTAATGATGAAGATAAAGAGCGAATTTCTCGTCGTTACCCGGAAGGTCACGTGGTTCAATAAGAACTGTTAAGGCGGCTGCCTCTTAGGTTTTGTCTGACTTTGTACCATGTGTGACATGCTATTCCCATTAAAAGTCAGTCATGTAATTTGATGTTTTCCCTTCAACAACAAGAAACATTAGAGTATAATTTCTATCATAAATTCGTAGATGCATAGGTTATTTACCTTGTGAAGAGTCATTACAAAATGACATCCATTAATACTCGGCTAATTTGAACCACCCAATTCAGCAACCTTGAAGAGGCACACGGTTTCTATGCAAAGACTTTCCACATCCAACTGAAGTAACAAAATAAGAATGCCGTATTTCTTAACCCCAGCGTAACGAAAAAACGACGATGAAACTTCTTGTCATTCGTAAGCTCTTTCCACGTGCAAGACTGATCTAAAATATGAATATTAATTTAAAAAATCATTTGAAATTCAAATAAATTTCCCACCTTTGATAAGCAGACCGACAACATATCGACTGAAAAGCACTTTTGTTCACACGTAAAATAAAATATGACGACTACCTAAAGGCTGATTTCACACTTGGCTGAGTTCAATGGAGGTATTAGCCATTCTTCCTCAAGCTTATATGAATGGCAACTTTTTCCCATTGCAAAGCATTTTTTAAAAGTCCTCGAGCTGTTTATTTGCTTTCCTCGAGTTAGTTCCGTTCTACAGTAGCTCAATAAATAACCAGATAGATGACATTATTTAACGTGAACAAAACGCTAAGCTGTTGAGCTAATTCATAAGTTTTCCACTGAATCAAAAGGTAGAAAAAAAAAATCATACAATAATAACACTACCTAGGATAGCAGCTACTCAAACCTTTCCATCCCTCCCCCCAGAAATATGTAACGGTTCTTCACTAACATTATTATCAAATTAGAGTATCAAGACTAATAATAATAATACCAATTCTAAGGATATGGACCACCAAAAAGTTTCGAACCACCCCCTAAGAAACATGCAATTATGGACTTTCACTAAAATTATCAAAGTAGGTCTTAAAATCTTAAAACTAAGAGTCAAAAAAAATTTAAAAATATTGAAAGATAAAAACTGCACCCATGTCGACGTATAACGTTGTAGAGGAAGGAATTGCTGCATTTTTACAATTTCTAGCTGTATGATGACAACACAAACTGTTTATATCGGAAATAACTATTTGTCAGACCTCTAAAATTTTTTCAACAGACTCGTGAGCTCCACACTTTTCGTTTGCTCACAGCGGGGGGGGGAGGGGGGTAGGGACAAACGTGAAGCGTACACCTCACACTTAACTCTGCTTGCCTCTTGCAAAATATGCTGTAACATTAAGACTTTTCTGCAGGCTACCATTACTTGCTTGTGCTTTTCTTTATCTAGATTTGAAGGAATTTATTTTACTGTTTTACTATACCCTCATAACGTATTTAACTGTTTTTTTATGTCTACACACTGTTAAATTTACAACAATGACCCAAGTCACATTTAGAAGGTCGTTGTATCTTTTCAATTTCTTGTTACATCATTTTTCTGTCAATGAATGTACATGCGTTCTTGACCAAGCCTGAGGTCAAGATGATTGAATATTGACTAAGTTCCCTTTTCCTTGCGTTTTATGGACCGAGAAGAGGTCGAAGTCCACAAAAAGGCAAAAAATTACGAGGTTGAGACCCAGTCCCCCATGCTGGTTGTACCAGACTCCTTCCTACGCCCCGATTCTAGATAATGTACAGAATTCTAGCTGAGGCGTACAAATTAACGCACCTCATCCGAACCTCCTTAAGTACTAAGAAAAATAAGGTTCATTTGAGCTTTAAGTATATAATTCTGTTTTATGTGTTTACAGAAGCATGAATCTTGATGGCCTGATTGCAAATTAATGATGATTTTAGGTTAAAGGCGCATTGAGGAAAATTTAAGAGGCTTTTGTGTGCTATATGGTACACCTTTTATGTAAGAAAAGTAAGCTTGATAACTTAAAGAAATAAATCATGGAAATAAAAAAAAAAAGTGTGGAACTTATATCCATCAAAGTGTTTTTTTAAAAAAAGTAGAACATCTTTTAAACCATACTGGGGCTCAGCAACCAAAACAACAAGGAAGTAGGTCAGCACAAGACTAAACAATCAGTGCTTGAAGAATACACACACGATGCCCACCAAATAACAATTAGCATCACTGCTGCTGGTAGTGCACTGACAACAAAACACCAAACAAAAATAATGTGCATTGTATAACTATTGGGTTTATTTAAAATTATTGTCTTGACAAATACAAGGAACCATTAAAAGATTAAAAGAAAAGTTGTACTGGAG